TACCTACCTACCTACCTACCAACCTGACCTCCCTCGCTACCTCATATCTCCTATCTACCTGGCTGCCTCCCACGTACCTACCTTTCTACATGCATACATACATACATGCATAATTGCGTGCTGAAGAGACATAGGGAATCAAAAAGAGAGAGAGAGAGAGAGAGAGCAGCGGTTGATTACGACTGTAGCTAATACTTCGCGAGTGCTTGCATTTACCTCCTGATGTTGAGCACGACCGTGCCTGCTGCTAAGCTGGGCTCAAGGCCCCTTCGGGCTGGGCCCTTTGCCTTTTGTCTCTCATAGCACAGCCTTCCATTTTGAGGGGCCGGGCACGTCATGCAGCTGTCAGGCCAGAGAGATGGGAGCAAATGTAGGGGGCTCTCACTGCATTACAGCTTCCAGCGGCAAGCGTGGGAACCCAGGGGCCCCGAAGACCAAGACAGAAGCTCCAGAAGCTGGAAGGCTTCCTGTTCCCGTTGCTTCTGCTCGCCGCCGCCAGCCTGTCCAAAGCAGAGGCCCACACGATGTTTCAGCAGGGGAGTGGGGAAGTTCGGAGGCTGAGGGGTTTGCTGAGGGCCATTGATGAAATATCGTGATGCTCTATCGCGAAATGCGCCCTTGTATGACCGGCACATCTGGATATCTCGTTCGTCTTTGCTTGACGTCCGACACTCTGTTCAATCGTCAACCTTCTGGACTATGGTGGGCAGTGTTACATGGATGCTTTTCATGGTGTCCCATGCCAGGATTTCCTCTATGCTGGAGCAACGACTTTGGCGCCAACTCCTGCTGGGAAGGAGCAGCTCGACTTACATCGTCTTCGGGTCTACGGTCTTATCGGGGTTAGGGTTTAAGGTTCTGCAGCTGAGGGTTGAGGTGAGCATTTTAAAGACTAGGTGAATGCTGGAGTTGGAGTTTAAAGCATTGTCGAGCCTTTAAAATACCCTCTGCTCTGACGCAGTGCTTCCGTGCTCATAGCAACTCAACTTGTCCTTGAAACAGAGACCCACATCAGCCGTGAACCCTGCTCGCGTGAGTGAGACGACACGTGCAAGCACGACATGTTCCGAGACACCGTCAGCGCAAGACGACTCTCCGTTGAGTCCGAGCCGCTTCTTCGTGGGAATCAACGTGGGCCAGGCAGCTAAAACGTCAATTCCGAGAAGCAGTGCTGAGAGAAGCGAGCAGTGCTTTGTGGACTTAGCTCCATAAGCCCCAAAGCCTTGAGCCCTAAACCCTTCAACCCTAAGGGCCCTCGCTGATTTGGAGAAATCGCACCTTGCTCTGCTAGAATGTAGAAAACCCTTCCGTTTGCCCTAGACCCTTTTACCCTCAGACCCCTTAAACCCAATGACGCTGAGGGAAAATGACGCTAAACGCGTCTAAAAGCCAATGTGTCCACAGGTGCACAGCAGAACTGACTAGGTCCAAGGGTGTTTCTGTTCCTGCACAGTTGCAAAGTACTGTGGAGCATAACGTATAGCATAATATGTGGAAATGCATAGCATATTGCAGCATACATGTATAGTATAGTGTTATAGGACAGAGTAGAGCATAGCATAATTAATGCTTTGCTCAGTGCCGTGTCGTTTTCCTGTAGTGGCATTTGCTAAACTTCGTCAGTGAACTGACGCTTCCGAATCAGTCCATTACCTCGGCGACTCGTGCTTTCTACGAGCTTCCGTTGTCTTCCCTGTTGAACACATCGTAACTCCTTGGTTGTTGGTCCCGTCGAGTCGTGCCTTAGAAGCACATAGAGCCTAACCTGTGGCTCCCTCGAGGTGTGAGAGCATCGTTTTCGATTTTTTGGAGTTGCTAGCTTTCTGCTTACAGGGCCGTAGGGCCTGGGGCCTGAAGGCATAAAGGAGCCTAAACCCCACATTCCGAAACTCGAGGCCCTTTCGGGTCTTTGGCTGAGGTCGCAGACGCATTTCGAGAACACGCTGCCAGCAGCGCCACTTTCTGAGATCTGAATTTGAGAAGGGGTCGGGTTCAAGCCTGTGTGTTTGCAGTCCTCTTTCTAGCGGATTTCCAACACAGCTCACACACCGTGAATCAGAGCAGAAGCCTTAAACCCTAGATACTTCACACATGTCATGAACTAGAGTAACTAGAGAAGGAGCCAACAGCTCAGGAAGTTCGTGTCCGTTGCTGAGGCGCCGACGAAGATCAAGCTGAGACAAGGGTTGCAGGTTAAGGTTTTGTTTGGTACCAGGACTTACTTCTGATGCTGGGCGTGTGGCTTTCAGACATGGTGTGATGGTGGCTTCTTGCATCATCGTTGCGACAACTAATTGCGAGGCAGTGCCGCGAGGTGCCCCACCAAGTTCGAACGTGCGAGGTGTGAAAGTGGCTGCAGCGCTTTGGATAAATTAGTCCATGGAAACAGCAGGAAGTATCTTCTTGAGGTGAGCTCGTCTGCAATGCATAAGTGCGTACTTATATATCGTATGACAGATTATGAAAGTGGGTCGTCAGCGGCTCGGTGGCGTAGCTGTTTGAGCTCAGGCACTGGCTGTCCAGTCCGGCAGCTCCAATACTTCTGCGACACCAGCAGCAACAGCAACCACACCTCCACCAGCTGCGACGGCTACAACACCTGCGCAGATCGCTGCAGTAGCGCCGGGACCCAACAACAAGACAGCGAAACCAGTGCAGGAGACTGCCCTGGTGGTGCCCGCGCACGGTGCCCGAGCACCCAGTAAGCTAAAAGCCAGATCTGCCGCAGATCAAGGCAATCACTCGGTCAGCGTCACGCCAGTCTCTCCACCACCTCTGCAAGCTGCGCAGCCAGCGCAAGCTGCCGCCATAGCACAGGCTCCACAAAGCAGTGCACCTCCCCGGGAGAAAGCCAGTGAAAAGCCTATCCCTGCACAACTCCCCGAACCACAACTGGTTTCAGCAGCACCTCGCGCACCCCCCAGTGCTCAAGAAGGGCGAGCAGTCGATGGCACATTTGCTACATCTGCCACGCCGGCTTCACCAATCCCAAAGAATCTGGGCTGCAAGAGAACATGCTGATAGTTCCGGTCGAAGGTGCATTTGTAGATTTTTGTAGTTTGGTCACACGTGCACAACTCAGCAAGTCGTTGCATCTGAGGCTTCCAGAAAATCCTGCCCTCAGCACGAAGCCCTCGCTCCACGTGGCTGGAGCTGCGGGAGGGAGCCCCGCCCATCTGCAGCCAGCTGCACCCATGACGTCTGCAGGTGCCCGCAGCAGAGCCGCGGGTCGCATCTTGAGATATGACTGGGAACACAACCTTCAGACCCTTCCAGACTCCAATCCTGCCTGAATCGGCAGTCAAGCGAAACAGGTAGGTTAAAGAAGAGTAGGCATCACCAGAACTGACAACTCTGAATAGCTCAAACGTGGATATGCTTCAGGTGCTGCCAACGCCACCCAGGCCATCGCTGACCTGCCTACCGGCCGCTTCCCTGCAAGACAGAATACTCGTATTTTTTCTGTTACATGTTAGATTAATTGTCATCTGTTGTACTACGCTATATTTCACATCACATGATATACCTAATATTGCAAGTTGAATACCGTGACACGAGCGGCAGAGCTTAAGCTGCTGATCATTGACATCCCCTGTCGGAGCGCAGCTTTGCAGCCGTTCCAGATGCTCTTGGGCTTGGCGGGCCTTTGGTTCGAAGCGTAGTCTTTACGAGGATAGAGTAGTCAAGCCCAAACTTCGGAATACGTAATTCCTGAAGCCACCCAAAGTCCTGTCTGTCCCTGTGTTTGTTTTATCTAGCCACTTGTAGCTACCTGTTTTCGAAAATTCATACATGTATAGACAGCGTACACAACAAATCTATATAGATAGATACACGTAGATACAACATATGTATATATATATATATATATATATACATTCATAGACGCACACACACACAGACATATATATATATATATACACACACATAATATTTTTTCATATTAATGTTGTGTGTGTGTGTGTTTTCCGTTTTTTCTTGCTCCGTGGTTTCACAGACCTTATTCCTACGAATGCTGTTGTTACTGCTATTAAGGGTATTGGTGTTTGACAGGCATCCTTACTAATACTTTTTGGAAGAGCCCGATGTTGAGCCCCGTGCCAAGATCAATCTCCCACTGTGAAGGCACGACCCCATTGCCGAAGTCGTCAAGACCAACCGCCGTCCGGTTCTCAGAGATGTAAACGTAGGAAGCTGAGCACAGCATTATAGAGAGGCATCATGACACCTTGCACCCGAGTTTTTCAGTGTGGGCAACTGTGCCGCCTTGCTGCCTCAATAAGTGCGTGGTGCCACCATTGCTTTCGCAGGTATTCAGAGAAAAGGGGTTTTCGACCTGACTAGGACATGAAAACCCCAGCCTCTGGAATCTAAACGCCAAAGGCATTGAACCTCGGGCGTAGAATGCAGAGACTCCAGCACATCAATATGTCATTATGCCTGCAGAATATTTCTAGACAAAGTCGCAGCAAACGGGTCGATGGGAGGTGGCCAGAATTCTGATTTCGGGCTCCCGGCCTGGCCTTCGCCTCTACTGCCAGAGACCACTGAAAACCCATGTTTATTGGGTTTAGGGTTTAGGGTTCAGGGTTGCATGGGCGCTCGCCGGCACCTCAGTCCGTGCTGAAAAAGGGTTCAGGGTTTCATATTCATGCATCTTCTGTCTTTCAGGGGCCGCGTTTGTGGAATGGAAGCTGCAAAGAGACCCTGCCTTGACTCGTGACCCTGAAACGCCGCTACACTCGAATCCCTAGGCCCAGAGTTTCTAAATTCAAGCCTCAACCCTAGGGTCCTAGGGTCGAGAGACACTGGAGGCGCACGAACCAACAGGCCAAAACCTCGAAATCTTTCAGAGACCTCTTAGACAGCAATCGGAAGGTCCTGAAGGAAGGCTGAACGATGCCTTCAAGCACCCGGCAACCCTAAGTCTCCGACACGCCGAGGTGTCGCCAGTGCCCACCTCCGTCATTCCAGGAAATGCCTCCATGAAAGTCCGGGCCTTACATCTAGAGTCGATCAAATCATGCAGTTATGATGACGAACTTACTATGGGGTGTTGTAAAGCACGTTGTGTTTGTCAATAATCGTCGCATGGACCTGAACGAACATGCGAGAGCAACATTTATGGGGCTACTCAGTTGGGGGGAGTCTTGGGTTCGGGATTTTCGGACCTCGAGTCTTTTTTTTGGGGGGGGGCTCCTTACTAGAATGATAGTATAATAGACCCCCGAAGTAAAACCCTCCGGGATCTACTCCCGTGAAAAGACGCCGATCCTTGAAAGATCGGCGTCTTTGACTTGATGCACGTTTGAGGGTTGTGCGAAGGCTTTCTGCATTCATCCTCTGCTTTGGCAATCGTAGAGTAGGCCATGGTGGCATGGTTAGCCAAAGACTTTGTTGCTCCAAGCATCTATTCTCTCCGTCGGAGGCTCTGGTGTTGGCGGATTTTTGTCGGAGTTGTTGCATGGACTTAGCGGCTTTGCTAGTGACTTCGCGCTTGTCCTGTATGCCTTCGCGCATCCGGTCGTCGTGCGCGTCCGTGCTTGGAGGACTGTCTGACTGACGAATATTCCAGTTTCCAGAAGCAGATAACGCTAGATGCTACACTTGGGTTCGCGCAGATGTTGCTATGTGAATATATATATATATATGCATACACACACACTACACATATATATATATACACACATACATACATATGTATATTTATATATATATATATGTCTATATTTACTTGTTCGGACTTGGAACGAGGCCCAACCGACTGCGGGGGTCCTTCCTTCGGCCGGGGAGTCGGTGGCAAGCGGTGCTGCCGAGGCTCTCTGTTGGCATTTGCCTGCTACTGTCAGGTTCTATAGGGTTCCTTATTTAAAGGGCATATAAAGCATATAAGGGTACTACCACAGAGCCTGCTAGGCTTGAGGAATTTTGGGGTTGATACGGTAGGGGTTTGTTTGGAGCTTTAATGGATTATGCCGGGGCTGGGCAAAGGTTTGGGCCTTTTGGGGCCATGCTGACCAAGGTTTAGGTGCTGTGGTCCCAGTGTCAATTTTTGGTGATACACGCATTGGCTTTATGCAGGTGTCTAGCCAGCACACCGGCATGAGCACACCATCTAAGCCGAGTGGCTTAATCAGCAAGCGGGAGCTTGACACCCAGTCTCGTGGTTGTTGTGAGTTGCTGTTTTTGTTCTACGAAGGTTGCAGCAGTTCTCCAGGATGCTCCATGTCATGTTTCGAGCTGTTTCTTTGTTCGGGGTTTGGGATGCCGGATGACATGAAGCGAGCGTGCTTCGTGGTCGCCAGTCAAGCTGTGGTCTCTCCGGAACTGCAGTGGTAAAGCATGGCAGTGGCACAGCCTGCACCGTGGAGTCTTGATCAATCTGATCGCATCAGGCACAATCGCAGCCGCCCAGTGTTCTGCACCCATCAGCCACGACGGTGTCGGTGGCCAGCGGGATCAGCCAGGCAGAAAGCCTAGAGCATGCTCTGGTCTGTAGACCCACGCACAAGCAGGGTGGCTCCACCTCTGAAAGCCATGCAGGACGGAGTTGTTCAAGCTATATGATTTCTAAAATGCCCTACAGACCCTCACTAGCAAATCGTACTGTTTCAAGCCCCAGGTCCTAGTCCCAAACCCGCATAAAACTGGGACATTTCACCTCAACCGAAACATCGCCTGGCTTGTCCGAGCGTGGGCGCCGAAACCCGCAGAGACCCGCACAGAACCCCCACCCCCAAAAAAAACGCTTAAACCCTAAACCCCTAAACCCGAGTCCTTACCAAGCCGAATCCGTAGGTTCCCGCTCCGAGCTCGGCTGGCGGCTCGGGAGCGACGCCGACGAACACCCAGGTGCGGTGACAGCAAAAGCCAAAGACTCCAAGTATACAATTAGCACCTACTTTGGGGTTTTAAAAAGTCCAAAGATTCAGATGTACTTACATTGGGGTTTAAAGTCTACAGATAGTACCTTCTTTGGGGTCTAAAGTCTGTAGATAGTACCTACTTTTCGGGTTAAAAGATGGGAAGGAAAAGCCGAGAGCCGTCTCCCGTGGTATGTCGTGCGTAGGCGTCCCCAAGGCTCTCATGTAGCCAAATGTATGTTAATGAATGAATGAATGAATGAATGAATGAATGAATGAATGAATGAATGAATGAAGCAATGAAGCAATGAAAGAATGCATGAGTGAATTAATGAATGAATGAACGAATGATATTACATGATGAGATTGCATGAATGAATGAATGATTGCATGAATGAAAGAATGCATGAGTGAATGAATGAACGAATGAATGAATGAACGAATGAAGCAAATGAGCGGATGAATGAATGATGTGAAGTGAATCAATGAAACGAATGAACGAATGAATTATTGAATGAATGAAATGAGCGAATGCATGCATGAATGATTGCATGCATGCATGCATGCATGCACGAATGAATGAAGGAATGAATGAACGAATGAAAGAATGAAATGGAATGAATGAAATGAATGAAGGGTTGGATGGATGAATGAATGAATGAATGAATGAATGAATGAATGAAATGAATGAATGAATGAATGAATGAAATGACTGAGTGAGATGAATGAGTGAATGATCGAGTGAATGGAGTGGAATTTTGGAATGAATGAATACAATGAAAGAATGCATGAAAGAAATACTGCATTACTGAATGTTTGATTGAATGAATGAAAACATCAATGAACAATCATGAACGAAACGAATGAATGAATGACGTGTATGTATGTATATACATCCATACATAGATGCCGCGTGGCAGTAGAAACCAGGATTCGGATATTTGATCCTGCGCCTTGCCTCACACAGTCCCAAGCCCTTCCGGTCTTTGCGTGTTTGTGCCCGCAGAAAAGCAAGAGAGGGTTAAGCTACCTGTAGGGCCCAGATGGTCCAGATGGGTCTGACGACTAAAGTATGATTTCGATCGGTCTGGGTTTAAAGCAGGATTTTCGAAGGGCCAGGCGGTCTCGGCGAGGACGCTGCAGACAAAGGTACTGTTTGCGAGCCGACAGTGCATGCTAGCTTCCCGCCTCCTTTCCTCATGTTGCGTGGCCCGGTGCTTGTGGCTGAATGGTTGAACCGTATGCCGCTGCTTGCACAGGTGCTGAGATCTGAAGCAGATATCGCCAAACGTTCGGAGAAGCAGCTCCCGGTTCAGGCAGCCATACGATCAACGTGCGTAATATAGGGGCCTAAATAATTAGAATAGGGTTTTGGGGTCCATTATAATATACTCATAAAATAAGGACCCCCCAAAATATCGCAGGTGATTATCAAGGCCCCTACATTACATATGCACTTGTGAAAGAAGGGGCATGCGTGCAAATCGTGGTCGTAATCTTGGTATCCATGTGCGATGACACCTTTCCACCCATCTGGCTCATACCCTTGTGTGTACATACACATGCATGTACGTGTTTCGTGTTCACGTGCATCAGTGCGTCAAACATGTGTCGAGATGGATGCCATTATGGAGCACATGGCTGGCATGCGAGTATGAGAGGGCATGCAAAATTCGACCGAAGAGACAATGCTCATGCAGACGAAGCAAGACAGTCGAAGCAACAAGCACAGCGGTGCCGACGAACCTGAACTTGCAACTTGAAGGCTCCAGCCTTGCAGGTCTCGAGCTAAGGATGCTGAAGAACAGATCTATATGTGTGTATATATATACTACTTATAGAAACTTGCACCCATGATACAGTAGCAACACTTTTGTGTGGGAAACAGAGCCGACAGAGTCACCATCGCCATGCTATTGTATAGTCTAGACTCTAGCCACAGGCATGGCCGCCTTTCCAGTAGTAGAACCCTAAAACCTGGAACCCTGCAGCCCCAGAACTCCAGAACCCCCAAAAAACCCTAGAACCTTTATTGCCATGCCTGCAGTTGCGAGTGTGTGAGTCGAAACCCTAAAACCCTAAACCCCTAAGCCCCTAAACCCCTAAATCTCAAATCAGCATGTCCCCCGGCCTTCGTGTCATCCTTGGCCTCGGCTAGGTGGTGTCCACAATGGGCGCTGGAGCTCCGAGCCGCGGAGATCATGATTTTCGGGTGAGGGCTTTAGGGCTTTTATGGGGTTTAGGGTTTAGGGCTTTAGGGCTTATATGGGGTTTAGGGTTTAGGATAATGGGGTTCATGTATGGGGTGATGGAGGCTAGCACAGGCTTTAGATTGCATAATGTGTGGTAGGGTAATTTCGGGCATCATAGGGACATCTGGGTGTGGGTTTCGTTTCCAGTTTGGGCCTCGGATCGATGGATTTGGGGTTCATTGCAGTCCCTGCTCAAAAGAAAGGGTCAAGGCGAGAATCGTCATCCTCGATTGACAGCAGGTTCATATCAGCGCTGTGTACTGATCCCTTGAGTGTTCAACTGGGTTCTTGTTAAGGGATTTAATTTAAGTTACCATAATAGGGATCTATAGTAAATAATATGGTTTCCTTATTATGGTAACTTAAATTAAATCCCTTAACAAGAACCCAGTCAAGGAGGGGAAGGGCCCTCCCAGAGCTGCCGCGGGGCCCTGCAAGCACAGCTCCGGAAGATTCGAAGTTCTCGCTGCTTCGGTCCCAAGCAATCGCACAACGCAGTTCCCCAAACAAACGCTCAACGTGTTTTTGGTCGAAAGACTTTAGGATTTAGGGTTTAGGGCCCTAATCCCTAACGCCTAAACCCTAAACCGTGCCCGGGGTCTCCAAGACGCGACAGAATATCTGCCACAATACTGCGTATTCGGTGTCGGCCCTCACTGGAACAGCGGTCCACCAGGATGATTCTTGATCAGCTTTAATTTTGGGATCATGCATCCCCAAAATCCACCCCAATTCAACATCGGCATGAACCGACCCAGGTCTGACCACGCCCTGGCCCAGCAATGCAAGCCTTCACTTACGAGGTTTGGGCGTTTGCCAGCCTTCTTGCAAGCTGTGGGCAGTCCTGGATAGGGCTCCGGGGTTTGAGCATGCTGTTGGGGAGTCTTCGGGTTTGGGCATGTTGTGTATGTATGTATGTAGGTAGGTAGGTAGGTAGGTAGGTAGGTAGGTAGGTAGGTGTGTAAGAATGTAGCTGTGTACGCAAGAGGCTTGTTTAACAATGAAGCTCAAAGCCCCAGATGTCTACACACTTCTACAGCGCAGCAGATATCGGTCACAATCAGTTTCGGCTAGCTCCGAACTTTCGAATCCAAGAAACGCTCTATGTCACGACGAGGTCCAGAGTGGCATACATGGCACGCGCCGCGGACGAACGTCAGGATTGTAGATAGAGGCTTTGTATGAGTTGTTGTTACGCAGACAGCTTGAGCTATATGGAGGCATGTGGGATTGCTGTGGAGCCACCTTGTAGCAAAGCCCAATGTCAACATAGACACGATGCAACGTATTTGTCAGGCTCCCCCTAGCGCTATCCCTTCGAGCTTCATTCCATATAGCATAGTGGCCTGAATAATTAGCTATGCTATCCTTGGGGGTTCCTTAGTATAGGTTTAGTATTAGTAGACTATACCCCAAAACCCTATTCTATTTATTAAGGCCCCTAATATATAGAACCCTATCTTAGATCGCTCGTACAACCGCTCAAGGATCCTTTACAGCAACCATATTCTAATTATGAAGCCCCCTATTATTTCTCACCCAAACTTAGGTGTCCCGCATGTGGCCACGCCTTGGGCGACTCGAGAAGTTCATCGCCGGCATCACTTTCATGTCCATGCTGAAGGCTCTGTTTAGGGTTTAGGGACTCAGACTTTAAAGAAATCCGAAGGGTCCCGATATCTATTTGGCAGAGGGGCTTCCTCTACAGGTGCTTTTAATGATTTTGGAGCTAAAGTCCATCCTACATATAAACATATATATATATATATACACATGTATAAAAGGTGCATGGTGCCTTTGAAGTGCCAGAGGGGAGGGAGTGATGCTCCAAATTCCGTCCGTGCTGCTTGCAGCTGCTTGCATGTCGAGCTCGTAGAAGCCTGAGTATCAGAACTTCGCTTCTGTTCCTTTTTTCCAATGGCCCAATACACAAGAGGGCTCAAAAGTTCAGCGGCCGTAGCTGCTTCGATGCTGCGATGCTGCGAGTTCCGGGTAAGAAGGGTAGAACTTCTTCGCTCAAGAGACCATGGTTGCAAAGACACAACTCCTGGCCAGGCACTTTGCATGGCCCCTTGGCAGGGGAAGTCGGGGGGCGGGTTCAGACGGAAAGTGGAAGACCCGAAACCCTAAACCCTAGAGTGAGAGTCGAAACCCTAAACCCCTAAACCCTAAACCCTAAAAAGAGAGATCACACGAAGCTGAGGCCGGCAACATCTTGGTTCAGATCAGCCCGTACCACCAGGCCTTCTTTTCACGGTTTAGGGTTTAGGGTTTAGGGGTTTAGGGGTTTAGGGCTTAAAAGGGTATATTTGCAGATGCCGTCCATGTAGGCTGTATCTGTGTATCCTGCAGCTTTCGAAAGCTTGAGTCCGTTTTGTGCCCTCCGGCCATGGGTCCCTCAAACAGACGAGCCTAGCTGTTTTCAGGTCCAACGCTGGGAAGAAGAGCGCTGCACCGGCGATGCCGATGCCGCGCCATATGTATCTTGACTTGGGGCAGGTGTGAAGAGAACTGCACATCCGGTGGCCCTAGACCCGGCTAGCCCTAAAGCCCTAGTTAAGCCCTGAGCCACACTTCAAGCCTTTTGTAGCAGGGGACATGCCGAAGGGCTGCAGGGGCATCTTTCTGACCCGAACTCCTCAGTATTTTCACTGCCTCTGGCATTGGGCAACTAAGTCTGCTTAGTGGGTCCACTAAACCCCACACAGCCCTTTCCGGTTTTTGATCCAAGATCGAGAAGCCTCGAAGGGTTTCGTTGGCGTTAAAAGCTTGATGCCTGATACCCTGCTTGCATGGTCCCCCCCCCAAATCTCCGAGAGGTATCAATCGCCTTTGGTGGCTGGCAGTGGTGCTACTATGGCCCCTTAATTTGATTTTGGTTTTGTCCCGTCTAAATTCGGATGTAGCAGCTGACTCCGCTGTACTTTCGCAACACGGCTTTGGGCCAAGAGTTACATCAGACTTCTCAGTCCTTCATTCTTCTTGCCGCATAGTCGGACCCAATCTGGATGCAGATTCAGGCATGATTCCAAGAACGAGCGACTTGCAAAGCTTTGTTTTCCACTGCTTGGCCCAGCCGATGCTCTGCCCTTAGCCTAAACCCTACACCCCAAGTGGGTGGTAAAAGCCCGAAATCCTGCCTTGCCCAGGTCTGTTTGCTTTCTTCGTGACGAAGCGCAGTGGGTTTCTGCCTCTCGGAGCAAGCTTTGAGTTGGCTGTGCGGTGCACAACGGCATCAGACCATTCATTCAACCCGACCATCCACTTCAAGTTTTGCAGCAGACTGTAGCATACAGTAGCATATTTATAGCATACCTCATCTGGGAGCCGAGACATCCTCGAAAGCACACCCCTCTGCATGCGGCCAGCTGCGCAGACCCCAAGGATCTTGGTTCACTCGAACTGCCTTGGTGCAGCCACTTGGACAAATCTCAGGGGTGCAATTAGTAGAGAAGCCAGAAAACTGCCAATACTATTTCTTGGGACTCCGTGTTCTCTCATTTTACCTTTACAATATACCTGACAACCCCATTCTATCTAGTAATGCCCCTGTTCTGTTCTACAGGTTACACAATACGGCTACAAGAGACCTAAGAAAATGTTGTAGACAAGAGCAGGGCACCTTCCAGGAAGTGTGGACGCGGCACCAGTCATAGGGTCTGGGTGCTTCGTGGATCTAAAGCTTGTGCATATGTATATGTGTGTTGTATATACAGATATGTATGTATGCGTGCATACATGTATGTATGTATGTATGTATGTATGTATGTATGTATGTATGTATGTATGTACGTACGTATGTATGTATGTATGTATGTATGTATGTCATGTATGTATGTATGTATGTATGTATGTATGTATGTATGTATGTATGTAATTACGTACTTGTTTCTGGATTGATCATGGTATTTGTATTTATACTTTCATGTCTATGTATATTTGTTTGTATTGAGTTACATCCGTATTTCATATCCTAACGGTTGCACGCTCCGGCGCCTCTTTCGACTTTATGACAGACGGTTTAGAAACCCTACACCCTAAACCCTAAACCCTCTCTGAGTTTCAGAGCTCCCCTGCGAAAGGCTGCTGTTCGCAAAATGAGGTCTTGGGCACTTACTACTCCATCACCTTCTATCGGAACTGTGGCTTGGCCTTTGGGCATAGATGCACAGTAGCATTTTTTGGAGTTTTCATTCCAAATTCATCGTGTGGTGAAAGCTTGGGGTTTGGAAGTCCAGAGGTCCAGGATGTACATGCAGCTTCTTTTTCGAGCGGCCTTGGGGCGTGCGGACATGAAGTGCACCTTTTGAGCAGTACGCCCCATGCATGCTTAATATATAGGGGTCGGAACAATTAGTAATGATACTCCCTTACCGTCCGTTTATACCCGCAGTATAGCATGCTCCAAAACCCTATGCTAATTATTGGGGCCGCACATGATTTCATGCTTTCGGGTCTTCGGGTTCCTAAGCCTAAAACGATATGCCCGAAGCTATCAACACAGCATCCAAACTTTCATGGTCAAGCACTGGCTGAAGCATGTGCATCTCATGGTCCAAACGGGTCCAATGTCGTCCTTTTACGTGCTCGAGGGTGCGCATTGCTCAGGCAAGCACGACAACTCCTTGGGTGGCCTCTACAGGTACATGAGCGCCGTTATCATGTGACCCGGCCGCAGAGCGGTAAACCCAGAAAGGTTACCGAGCTGCAAATCCGTGCTGTTGCTGAAGATTCGACTTCCAGGTTTCGATGAGTACCTTTGTTTGAGTGCAGACCCCGAATCCGCAACTGGAAGCTGATCACTTGGGATCACTCTGTGTGCGTGGAAGGCTGGTCCTTTTTCAGCTCTGCTCGCTGGCAGTGCTGCCGATTGAGCGGGCTTTATTCCTCACAGGCCGCAGGTTTGTGTCGACCTTCAGCTGTAATATTCTAGGCTCGACTCTAAACCCTAGACCAATGAAATCCCAAATCACACTCATTTGTGAAAAGAGAAACGAGCCTTGCGAGCACTCCGTCTTGTTGCGTTTCGGCCGTATTAGAATGACGCAGCTAGCATTACACCGTGATGACCATGACTCGTGTCATCGTTGTTGTTACAAACACAACTGGCGTTGATGTCATGATCACTTCGGTGTATTAGCAGCTATTTGCAAGATGTTCTATCCTTACAGGCAAAGCAAGTCCTGCTGTTGTTCTCTATGCCAGTCTTCATCACCCCATGCCTCCTACTGCGATGCTGGAAAGAGTATCACACAGAGATGTCCCGCTTGTCAACTGGTAGCATCTGCTGTGCTAGTACTGGTTGTAGTCGTACTCGTCGTCGTCGTAGTAGCAGCAGCAAGCAGATGTGGTGCATCTTTTAGGGAGGTGGGAGGACAGGTTGACAAACAGATAGGAGGCTGGACAGATTTGTTCATCCAGTACACAAGCAGTTGCACATATCTGTCAACACGTAATTAGCGTGCAGAGTCTTGGTGCATAGTTGTCCGCACATGGTAGATGCATGCGTCCTCATTTACATACAGAGGTACGTACAGTTTGCTTACCGGCTTACTTGCTTGGCTTGGAAACATTATCCCACCTTTTTGTGAGGAATGTCGGGCCGTTTCTGCAGTCATCTGGTTGCAGGAGGTGAAGCTTGTGGCCAGGTCTTGAAGGGGGCTCGTTCCAACCTGTAGTTTGTATCTAGCGCAACTCTGCACGTCTTATTTCAAAAACACACTATTACTTCCTGGATTGCCAGGCAAGATCAGACAAGAGCAGTTCAGAGTTGTATCTAAATCCTCCTACACCCAGAGTTTCCGACAGGTTTGATCTCTTCATTTTGCAGCTTCATTGGGGCGATCTCCATCTTGGTCAGCCTCCCCCTGGTGATCCGAACACGAGACGCTCTGCTCAAGCGTGGGGGGGGTCGAAGCCGGCCCCATCCTTCTCTCATATGGGAGTTTCCGAAAATCAGGGTGCCATATTCTGGGGGTCCTTATAATAAGGATCCTACTATTTGGGGTACTATATTAGGGTCCCCTATTTTTGGGAACTCTCATATAGCCCCCTGCTAGCAGAGGCTTCTCCAGCTATATCCAGCACTGTACATTTGCTCAGCCGTTTGCGGAAGTAAGAGCAGTCATGGTCAAATTCGCTGCTGCAGGAGCTCCTTCTAGGTTCCGCGGTCTATGACAGATACGAGTGTTGTGCGGGCTTGCATCTCCAAGATGGAGACTTAGGTTCTCGGCGTTATATTATACTGCAGCATGCTTCAACTGTGCACCAAGATCTCCCGATCGTTTGCCTTGCTTTCTAGTTCCTGGAAGTTGTTGATGCCTAGAGAAGGACAGCAGCTCGATACCAGTTCCGCTGGTGACGGCGAACATGATCAGCTCGTTGGCCCCTTGGCTTGTGGCAGCCTTGTATGTTTTTCAGGCAAGAGTGGCGATCTTTTTAAAGTATAGCGTCTTGAGCTGCTATGCTCACTTGGGCGGCTACTGTTTACTGCCGCTTGAGTTGATGACGGCAGAGTTTGTTCGCGTTTTTGTCAAGCTCGCCTCGGGTTGATGGGCCTCGGCATATTTAACTAACTTGTTTCAATGACATGCCAGGGGGCAGGGCTTGAGGGTTCGTCCCTTGGTCACGAAACGAGCTTTGCCGTCTGAGAGTTGGAGTGGCACTCACCTTCTTTACATCTGGCTGGCCCTGTATGTCACTTGTTGGAGAGCACGAGAAGGAGATCCTTCTTCGGCGCTTTCAACACTAGCGACAAAGATTTTAGGTCTGTCCGCCCTTCAACCTTAAACGACTGGGTGCAATTTGGGAAACTTTGAAATTTCCCTTATGGTTTCTAAAGAGGTACCTATTCATAAATACTTTTCGGGGCCCCCAAACTACAACCCAGAAGAGGTGTGGTGCATCTGCGGGTGGATGCTGGATGATCCATTGATTGCAGCACCGAACATCGTGGGATTTCTCTCCTGCGCCTCGCCGCATTATGTCTTTTTCAGGTTCCTTATTGTGGTTTTCTATCTACCTATCTATCTATCTATCTATCTATCTATCTATCGGTCTATCTATATGTATATATTTATATAGAGTCGGGTGGCTTCATTCATCATTGCTGTTTCTTCGCTCATGTTCGCTGCGAGTAATTATTCAGCAGATGTTGTGGATGGCATGGGAAGAAGCCACACTTTCGATTGACAGATACTTATACAACGAGTTTCGCCGTGGTTTCAGAGGCGAGGGCCAGGCTTAGACTGCTCACGCCTTCACTCGGTTTTACATGTCGTGTCGTGGGCGCTCCGCGCGCGCGAGATGCATCATTGTCTGCCGCTACGCAGCTTCAGCTTGCGAGCTGCGAGTACATTCTTCCACTTCTTCCTGCCCAGACTTCCACAATTGAATTTTGGGATCTTGCGTAGGACATCCTCCCCCCACTCCGCCGACAGGCTTGGAACACCCTAAACCGAAAGCGCCTCGACCGTATTGCCAATGCCCAGGCCACCTGTGTCGAGCCTCGACTGAGAGAGAGTCTTTCGTTTTGAGCCTGGGCGTCAGCGAAGGTGGGATCTGCCTCTTCTGCAAGCACCTGTATCCATCCGCCGACGAGTGGTCGGTGAACAAGCGGCGCAGCCAGGACGCATGAAGGAAGGGTTTAGGGGTATAATATAGGGGCCTTAATATTTACAATAGGGTTTGGGGTATATGGCACCAAAATTATAATAAGGACCCCCCCCAAAAAAACCCTATTCTAATTATTAAGGCCCCTACATTAGAGTAAGGGCCTGGATGCAAAAGAGTTTATTGGGGAAGACGACAAGGGCTTAAAGGGCTCAGCTAGAGTAAGGCGCAGGATGCCGCAAGACGGGGCTCCGCCACAGACTATGCATGTTGCGACAGAACTCCGAGGTCTGGTCTGGTAGTTCGTTGGTGTAGGCGTTAGGGTTTCATGGTCTTAAGAAAAGCGGTGGCATTCGCAGCCTCACTCCGAATTGAAGTTCATCTCTTAGTCAGGAGGTACTGTCAATGAGTGCTTCTTTTCGTTAGGTGGCAATTTGGGAAACTTGAAAATTTCCCTTATGGTTTCTGTAGAGGTACCTATTCATAAGTATTTTTCAGGGCCCCAAAACTACAACCCAGTTGGTCAGTTTGGACCTGAAGCATTGGACTTCCGAAGACCGGGTGCTGTGGTTAAGCCTGCGACCCGCGTCACGGGGATGCCCCCCAAATCATCTCTAGAAAGCCAGGTCAAAACGCACCATGCCAAACAATGGACCTGACACCCCATGCATGGAACACGTATCCACACCCCCAGCAGCTGTCAGAGGTGATCCAGTGCGAGACACTCCGCTGTCCCCGAGCTCCATCAGCAACCGCCGCACAGCCCAGGCCTTCCTCGAATTGAACTCCGGTTCTCTGTTTTTGTCAGAGCTTAGCAAGTTCAGGACGGAGGCCGATGCTTCGAAATTCGAAACTGGGAGGCCTCTGTACACCTCAGCAGATAGACCCATACAGTAGACTCCCAGGCTCAGCGATGCAGCCAGAAGTATCCTCTGCACGGTGGGGTGTGGTAGCCGTCGTAGTCCTAGCGGGCGGTCCTCTTCGTCGACGTCCTTGTAGCGATAGTACTCCAAGTGCAGCATAGGTCTTCAACCCCAGACTGTTCTTTTGCAAAGGCTCGTGCCATCAAAGCGATCTCTTACCAATCCTGCGACACGGGCGGCACCTTCTGAAAAAGGCCGCCGGAAGCGAGGGGAATGTGCTTACTGCAGTGCATGTCGTCGGATCTGATTCCAGAAATGTCCAGGATTTGGCTTGCACAAGCTTGTTCTTGGCCGGGTTGCGATGTGAATCGACTTCGGTCGGATCGCTGGTTGTGCCTGAGGGTTTAGAGCCGTTGGCAGAGTCGCAAGGAGTCGACATCTTGAGGATGTCATGGCCCCACGAATCGGCACAACAGCCAAGTCGAGTGTAGTGTTAAGGTTTCTAACTGGTCTGAAATTTGGTTCAGGGTAGTTACGAACAGCTGGCAGCAACCATGCAGGTCGATGGCAGCAAATACCACGGCTCCGACTGAGAGTGGCCGTTGAGGGCACAGCCTTTTCATTTCCTTCCCATCCAGGTATCGAGCGCGGACAAAGAGTAGTAAAAACAGCTACAAAGCCTTGTGACGCAGGCTTTCCTCCCTCACCTGCCCTATAGTGGAGCATCGCAGCAGTGACTGCAAAAAGTGCCGGAGCCGCTGTCTGCACACTCTGAGATGTCAGATCCGTGTCGGATAATTCCCGAGCCCGGCAGATCGGCAGAGAAACTGTGGCGACTTGGCACAGGGACTTTGGGGGACCAAAGGCTTTAGGAATAAACATGTAGTATTGGCTTAATAGTAGTATAGTTTACTTTCCATAGCTGGAACTTTCACATGTGCTCGGCGTAGAGGCCCATGTTGAAGCATCATCATCGTCGTGCTTTCGATCTGTGGGTATTGCGCCATCTCTGCACGAATGTGCTGCTAGGAGCCGGCTGGTTCAGACGATGACGATCAGGATCCGAGGGGGGGCAACTGCGAGATTCGAGCTATGGTATCCCTAATCCCAGGGCCCACCTAGCCGGCGATGACAGCAAGGCATCTGCTGCGCCGCGCAGCTTCAGTGGGGCAGCGGAAAGAGCTTTAAACTCACAACAAACATCATGGTCTCAAAACCCTCCCTGACCACCCCAAAAGCCATCGGCCCATGGGTCAATCTGCACACCAGGAGCCCAACGAGGAAGATGATGACGATCAGGATCGCGGGCTCAGGGACGAAATCCTGGAATGTTGAAGTTGGCCACAGACAGCAAGACATCAAGTGGCATGTGACATTCCGATCCAGAGCTTTACAATGTCGTAGTCTGTGCTTGCTATCA